TAACATGTGGGTTTTCTTCATCCCAATTATGATTATTATGAAAATTGAATATACCATCCCTGGTAAAACTAGCTTCATCACCATTGCGGTTTATGAAAAGAGAGATCGGACAGAGAGTTTGTTCTGTTTATAAAATTCATTATATCTCATAAACGAAGACAGATAGGACATATATTTATATGACTTTTTTTTCATTATTTTTAGGCGTACAATCAGCTCCCAAAGTGGGTCCCACAAGTTACAAAACATCCTGTATACTATGTATACTATGTTTGAAGAATTGTTGCTTGTTGTCCCGTAAAATCGACCACGAGTTTTACTGAAAGCCAATTGCGCGAGCGGTAGTGGGTCAAATAATTCTTGAATAGCGAGCAGTGAGCTATGAAAACGGTCGAAGAATCAAATACAAAACTGATTCAGGAGATTTTTGCTTTAATGAAAATTGCTGACACGATTGTGATCTATTTATATGTTAATTCTTTTTAGTATAATACTAATACAGTACAGATTATGAAAAATTGTGAATAATTATTAGTTTTGGTAAATAATCTGTGTAAAATGTTTTAATAAATAGTGTGTAAAATTTCACAGATATGTTCCTACTAGTTGTTGCTTTGATATACATAGATTGGAATATCATCTCTATTTTTTAAGCAAACCTTCTCTACTTCTTTTCTCTAAGAAATTAAACTTCAATGCAATAAAAAGATGTTACACTAATTATGATCAAAATAAAGCTTTTGAGTATTTTTAATATAATAATTTTTACGTTGAATGACTCATTAAAATTTTACAAATTTATAATTAAAATTATATCTATATTGAAATATTAATTGAATATTGAAAGAGGAAAAGGTCTTAAGATCTTCGTTATATACTCATAACAACTACTATATTCGAACATTTTATTACTTTATTATTATTATTATTATTATTATTATTATTATTATTATTATTATTATAATATATCAATCTTTAACATATCTTAATATATCTTAAATATATATTATAAATCTGATCTTTATTTATTAATTTCTTTTTTTATCATATTTAAATATAATATAATATAATTATTTTCCAATACGTAAGTTACCTAAAGATGTTTTTAAAAGTGAGAGTAAGACTAAAGGTGTTTTTAAAAGTGAGCAGCCTATCAATTTCGATCGTACTTAAATATGAAATGCGACATTTAAATTGGATCTATACTTGATGATGACAAACGAACATTAACAAATAAGTGTAAATTGCATTACAAACAGAAACGAGTGCAAGCGAACGTCAATAAATGCGATCTGTTACTTAATGATAGAGTTGTCTCCACAAAATAATGAGAGTCACAATATAAACTTTACACATCCGAATATATAGAAGGAGAAATATAGATAAAACTTATGAAATTAAAAGAATCAAAAAAAGTTATTTTTATTTTACTGCATTTGTTAGTATCGAAAGTGTTTCGAAATTTGTAAAATGATAAAATTATAATTATTTCAACTTGCTATATAAGTTTAACTGTTCAAAATCGTATTTAGCAAGTTAATTTTACGATTTTTCAATATTAATATTGAAAATATTAATCAACTGATTTCTTTCAATTTTCATATAGTAAAATCTTTTATTTATATTAAAATAATGTCAATATCTATAACAGCTTTTTTTATTATCCCCTGCAGAAATTAGAATTTCATTCTAGGAAAAACACTAACTACATTGAGATAGAATAATATTATTTTTTATAACTCAATAATATACCATTCTGGGAGACGTAGTAATAAAGTAAAGCAGTGATTCTTAATCTTTTCGAAGTCACGAGGTTATAAGAGAAATCACTGAAGTCATAAATTTAATAATAATAAAAATAAGCATGCCCATCTCTTATATTAAAAATATACATAGAAAAAAAGCAATAAATTATGAAATATTTGAAAAAGTTATAACTAAAATAAGTCTATAAAACTTCTTTACTCCAATCTTGATGCTGATTATCGGTTTTTGCGAATTTCAGCAATGTTAGATCTAAAATATAATATAGCTATCCTTATTTTTTTCGTCTATATTAATAAGTCTTTCGTGTTTCTTAGTTTTTAGGCATATAAAAAATGTCGGCGATCAATAACAATTTTTCTACGAAATTTCTTGTAAACTTAACTTCGTGGAATTTGTAACAAATTCGTAGAATAGAATAAAAATAATTTCATGAAAATTATACTGTATTATTTTGATATATAAGCAAATTTTAAATATCTAATACTTTTTTTTTTATTCTAAAATAGCCTAAACATTGATCTCTAAAAATGGGAATTTTAGACAATTTCTAGAAAATTTTAGACAAAATTAAATTAAGTACTTTAATTTTTTAGTACCTATCGCAGAATATAAAATTATATATGTAGATGCTACATAAACAAGTGCTACATAGACAAATGCGATGTAGATATTACCCTATCAATATTACTGCTTGTTATATTACTATATTACTACTATATTACTATTTGTTAAATTTAATTTAATTCTATATTAATATGAATTTAATACCATCATATGTTTTAATTTAAGGTATAATTCATCTCGTAATGTCGCATTAATAATTTTATTATATGTAGATTGTTGAATACTACAGGGGTTTAAATTAATAAAGATTTTATATGTAAAACGTGCTACAAAATATACAAAATGCCTTGAAAAGTAGTGTTTTGATACTTTATATGAGCTTCGCTTCCATATATTCGTATTATGGATAAGAATTAAATTTGAATTCAATTTCAGTCATTATAGTCTCTGTACGTTAATGAAAAATACATATTTATTCGTATTCGTATTATATATAATATAAATGAAATATCTAGTAGTTAAATTTTTATTTTCACATTTTCGTGTACATTTGAACAATTGAACAAGTGCGAGCAAATGTGAACTTACATACGCAAAAATTAGCAAGCATAAGCGAATTCATAGACAGTCAAAATTCGATTCATCTTTATTTCTGGTATTTCTGGCTTATTATTATATCAAAATACATAAATGAAAAAAGTAAAATATTTATCTGCATAATACAATGTATATATATTACAAAAGAGTTTCGATATATCGATAAATCAATATTCATATTGTACATGTACAGATAAATCGATATACATATTGTATTATACAGATCGAGTACATATGTATTATACAGATCGAGTTTGTTGATATTCCTTTGCGTATATATTTCATGCAGTTGAAGATATTCGGCTTAATGTTCAATCGATATTCAATAATAATAATTTGTATTAAAATATCTTTAGACTATCTTTCTAAAGAACGTAGTTTTGTTGAATATTCTATGCTATGCTAAAAACTGCAATGAATGATTTTTTTGGTTTTATTTTTAATTTAAATATTCTAAATCGGTATTTGTTCAACGAATCAAGATACATATATCTAAACTGAACTAACTATTAGCTGATACTTATCGTCAAACATTAATCATTTGTTAGTCCATAAGTAAGTATTCATAGTATTCGTGTTACAATATCTGAAAGAACTGTACAATTACGTCCTTGTTTCGTAAATACCATCATATACATATGCTTATAGCGGATGCATCGACTCGTTGAACGAAGCATAGTTGAAGATTAATATTATTTACACTTGTTTGTTCATGCTCCTTCACGTTTATTTGTGTATGTCGCGTGATTTCGTCGGCTGTAGATTCTTAGTGTCAAATCAGATTGTGAAAGCGACGCTCGAGGAAGAGCGGTATGTATTGTGTATGTATGATACAAGTTGGCAGTATCCTGGAAATGTCCAGGTGAGACCAACGAAAGTCTTCCACGAAGCAAGGACCAATGCTCTAGGCTCATGGAAAAACGGTCAAATGACACGGCCGCGTACGCCGCCTTGCAAGCCAGCGAGGACGAGCTGATCGCTGAGCACTGTCTCGAATCGGAGGACACGGCATTAAAAACGCCAGGCAGCGAGACTGAAGACACCGAGGATAACGGCGTACAAATGGAAGAAACCACCTCTTCGCCTAGCCGTCGTTTCACTTTCCTCAGGCGCTTCCGATCACCAAGGTTTGGCGAAGCACACCATAAGAGGGTGCCTACGCCAATGAAAAGGAAATATCGCCGAAAGAAGAGCAAAGATGACATTATCAACAATGATATGAATACCACGGAAGTCGAACCATCTAGTTTGAATCAAACTGGAGTGTCTGACCCATATTATCCGATTTATTTGCCGATCGACCAGGCCTTCAAAGCTAAATACGTGTTTCATCACAAAAAGGGCAAAACTTTTCAGGAGAGACTCTACGTATTCTTGGAACATCCCGGCGGATGGATCTGCTTCATTTATCATTTCACTGTGTGAGTACTTTTGATGCAGTTTTTATTAGAGACTTCTATTGCTCAAAATATGCAAAATTAATTGTAAGACGAACAAAGTATTAGCCTGTTGCATAATAATGTCAGTCTTTAGTAAATTGAAAAACACTTAGCAATTGCTTTTACTTTATATTATTTTATTCAGAAAATTTCAATCTATTATATTCTGTTCTTTTCAAACTATTTGTTTAAATTGTATTAAAAATATATTGATTTCTATCTTAATCTTGACAGACTTGAGTCATTTCTACATGATACATGAATTTTTTTAATTGACTTGAAATTCTAATTATGGATTAACTTTCGTACAATAATGACAACAATTAGTTATAGGGAGTTCTACTGTATGTTCATCGGTACCATTTGTAATGAAGCTATGTTTATTATGCAACAATCTAATTGGATAAATTAAAATATTTATTATTTGATCTTTGAGAAAAAGATAACTGAATGACATTTTATGTAGATTTGCTTTATGTAAGTATGAATTATTTTCTGCAAGCGGAAATTGAAACTTAGTCAACACCGTTTGAGATCTTTTATTTATTGAAAGTTCTATTAAATTATCATACAATCATAGTTGTATTTTGTCAGGATTAATATTCGAACTGACATTTTGCCCGATGTACATAAAATTGATTCGCTTTGTGTTAATGCTAAGATTAGCGTTAGGGTTCCCTTTTTGAATGTACGTACTATAACATTGGAGGAATTAATAACTTATCGACAGATTTTTTACCCAGTAGTATTCAGCATCGAGTTTTTCGTTAACATTGGCCATTTCAACTCATTTCTTTGATATTTAAAGAATATATAAAAAGAATATACAAAAACTATTATTGCGAAATTGAAAAAAAGTAGTATGATCACGCAACTGTAACAATCTAAATCTTTTGTTTAATTGAAATTTAAGAGAGGTGGTAGAGCAAGAGGATGAAAGATTTAAAATAGATTACATACTGCCGATTGTATTGTTTTCGCAGATATAACATTGCACATGCGTTTTGCAGTTGCATTGTTTTCTAAATTAGAAATATGCTCTTCTTTCGCATAAATTTGCCCTTCTTTTTAAAGTCATATTCCTTATTTTAGTTTCGCTTAATACGGAAAATTATTCTATATATGTACGTGTATATATAATTATACAATTAATTACACTATTTTTTTCTTTAAAAATGTAAACAATGATTGTAGTCATAGACCTAGCACTCATAATTAACCATTAAAAAAAAAAACATGATATCATCGCAAGGCATATATACTATGCATAAATAGAAAGCCACCTGACTGGGTCTAGTTCGGATGAATTCAATACAATTTTAAATATGCCTTGTTATAAAGATACTTAACCCATAACAAACAGTAATTTACTTTAAAAAATATATTTTAGGATCGTTTTCACTGATTTTAATTACTTTATAATATGTTATTAAGATTATTATTCTGCTCAACTTCTCCTTATACATGTTACCATCGCCAGCTTGTCTTTAGTTTTTACAATATTCACAAAAATATGTGTAGTTTATATATTTTAAAACAAACTTTATTGATTTCAATGATTTTTTTTTTCATTTGGAATTTATTGTTAAATTATAATCTGTTATTGAAATACCGATAAATAATTCTTATGTTAGCAAGAAGACGTTTTTACTATCTCGATGTTACTTTTAGAATTTAATTATTTTAGCTCAGTCGTAGACCTGATGGCTTAATTATTTTGTCCAATAGGGTCGACATTTGCTCATTAGAGTAAGTTCTGAGTCTTTTTTTTTGTAGTTAATGCTGTATCATTGAATTTTTTCCTTTAATTGTCAGTAATGATACTAGAATGACCTCTGTGAATGCCTGTGATAAACTAGAGAGCATCATTAATCTGAATGCTTTGGATTGGAATCTTTATAGAATCTCCAGATTTACATTATTGGATTTTTCTCATAACAGAATATTGAAAATTATACATTTAATTACTTAGAATTGTACTCCTCTTTACCAATTTTGAAATATATTATCAAAAACGTACTTTCTTTCCTGGATTTTACAATAAGAATTACTTGTTTTAATGAATTATTTTAAATTACGGCAGTGTGTCTGATCAATTTTTGCTAGAAATTTATTTATGCCAAACCAATATCCCTGCTTAAAAAGAACTAATAAATTTTTAAAATGAATATTTGAATTAAATTTTTTAAATCGCCACGAAATTGGAATACACATATATGCAAAATTTTCAATATTACATTGTATAATATTTTAAAGATTATTTAAGAATTAGATTCTATTAAATTAATCGGTAATTGATAACACACAAGAGCTCTGATTGTAAATTTGAATCGGTTGATTCTGTTGGAATTTTTTGATATGTTATTTGGGATAACATTCTGTTTCCCGTACATATAACCGCTGCACGGCTTTTTCCGAAATATTTGCAAAACAAGAGTCCCATGCACAAATCGATAAAGTTATCTGCCTCGTAAACAATTATAGAAATTTCTTATTATTTTTATTTATTTATTGTGAGATGTCTCTGTGACTGTTCACAAACAACAGTTTGTAACATAAACATATCGCAAACATATAGAGTAACAGGTCCGGTATAAAGTAACAAAAATATTGCGAATATCTCAGAAATTAAAATGGAGCGACGATAACATGTTTAGAAAGAAGTTGTTTAGAATGATGAATTTGACGATTTATTTCAAGATCACTGAAATCGATAGGAAAGATCGTGAGGTAAATTAATTATTGAATAAACGAATTCGTATAACGCAACATGATATGAAAAAAGGTATTATTTCCCTTATGCCTCTGCCATCCCGGTTAATTTTTTTTTCGCATTATACACACGTATACGCACACGCACGCGCACGCGCGCGCAGTGGTTAAATGAATTAGAGACTAATAATTATGCAGTCTAGTATTCTAGATATCTGACCATCATTTTTGAAATTTTTCACATTATATGTGTTATATGTATTATTTCACATTATGTGTATTATATGCGTAGTCCCAACTGTTCGATATTGATAAGTCTAGTTTTCGATCAGAGTTCATAATCCCCTGTCGCTAATAACCTTAACAGTTGATGCAATTCACAGAAACAACACATTTATTCCGTATATTCACATTTGGCCATTTTAGATATTACGTTATCATTCCATTTTCTCACGATTTACAATTTTTTTGTAACTAATTTTACAATATTATTATCACTTTCGCTTTTACTGTTGTCAAAAATCACTTACACTTCCACATATTCCATGATTTCATATGATCTATAAAACTGGAGATTTCTTGTGGTCTTTCTTTGTTTTAATTTTTTCTAGTAGCAGTTTTGTAGCACATTTTTTATATTGGCTATAATGTTTCTGACATGGGTCATAATATTTCTGCTGCGCGATGCATTTTGGTTGCGTTTTATCATAACTAGATTAAAATGCAACTTCTGTTTTTCTTATCGTAGTATTTCCCAAATATAATATAATATTATAAATATATTTCTTAAATTCTTAAAAATTAGTTTTTGACTTAAATCTATAGTTTAATGTTTGTTAAAATTTTTAGTCTACTCTATTATAATTTTTTTTAAATCGGATATCATTTTTTAATCGCTCATTTGTGTTAATAGAAGAGTGAAATATTTGTGCTCCTTAATGGAGAATCATTAATGTATATTTGTACTTCTATACGTTTGAACTATTCTTCTGGCATTGGCACAGATGACTGTTAGTAGTGGTATTATTGTTTGATTTAGCTGTTATTCTTGAGATGCCTATTGGATTTTTTTTTTATTACATTATTTCTCAAAAATGTTTGAAGTACTGTTTTAAATCTACTTGTTACCTTGACACTATTTGTCATTTTACTCAGATAGAGACAAACAAACTTAGAACTACGACTAAAATATGCATACTTTATAATTTTTCCATGTAAACTGTAATCAATATAAAAAGTATTGAGCTGATTTTCTCCTTTATCTAAAAAAACTCTCTTGTCTGCATTCTGCTAATTGTAGTGCAGTTTCATGTAATTTAAAACACATTCTTAAATTAAAAATTTCTTTTTAAAATTTTCTCAGTTTAATTTGTTACGAAATATTCTCGATTATGTGCCCATTTTTTTTTAATGTATTTATATTATTTCTAATAATATAAATAACTCCTCGTTGGACTTCATAGTTTCAATTAGCATCAGTGAAATATACACTATATATTTTTTTCTGACGTTTCACTTACATTTTTTAATATTGTTTAATTTTTATGAATCATGAAAAACAAGGGAATGAAGTTTATGAATGTTACATTAGCTAACATTTTTGAAGCATATTTTATAGATTCAGAGGATAGTATGAAAATAGATTTGTAGAAGAATTCTGATAGAAATATTAAACAAGTTAAAAATATTGTTAATATGGCATGGAATAAATTGAATCTAGCGATTGATTTGTCTGTTCAATTTGCAAAACCATTTTGATCTTGAATCTCCAGTTTTTGATTTTATAATTACATGATATTATATTTAATATTTGGAGAACATTTAGAGACATATTTTAGTGATGTTTTCAAATATTTCTGTAAAAGGAAATACATTTTGCTACCAGATTCTTTGCATTTAATAATATTTTCTTTTATGTTGCGAATAATTAACAGAATAATGAATTTGTTAATATGTTATTATGTATAAAACATTCGTCATAATTAATATAAAATATTATCTTACAATTAAATCGTTCCATGAATTTGTCCGAATGTAAATTCAATAACATAGATTTAAAAGTTAGTTTTTAGTGAAATTTTAGTTAAAATTAAAATATAAAATGAATTTTAAACGAGTTACGAGATTTGAAACAAATCTTGTCTTTTTATAATATATGTATAATTAAAGATAAAAATATTAAGATAGAATTCATTTCATCCAATTTTTTCCCAATTCTTATCAAATATCATCAATATATGATACACTTATAAGTGTACATACAGTATGTA